CTGGCCTGCAGATGTCTGGTGGGTGATTAGAACAGTATGAACATGCTTAGCACCTCTGTCTTCATACAGTATTTCTCTCTTTGTTACCTTAACCTTTGGATCAGACCCTATGTCATGCTGCTTATTTGAGAATGTTCTGTCCACAACTATATAATGCGTACTAAATTGACCTAAATTTGTCTAGTGTTTCCCCAGATGTAAGACTAAAGACTGCCAACAGTCACCAAAAACAGAAGCACCAGACTATAAAAGGAATAAAATGGGGTAACAGCTGAGTCCTTAAAGTTTGGACACCTCAGAAACCACAGGAGCATCTTGTCACAGAAGATTCTTCTTTATTATTTATTTATTTATTTATCCATATTTTATGTGCCTTGGTGTTTTGTCTGCATGTATATCTGTGTAAGGGTGTTAAATTCTCTGGAACTGGAGTTACAGACAGTTATGAGCTGCCATGTGGGTGCTGGCAATTGAACCCGGGTCCTTTGGAAGAGCAACCAGTGCTCTTAACCACTGAGCCATCTCTCCAGCCCCAAATATCGTATTTTTTTCTTGGTTACAAGACATACATTTTCCCTAATGCAGTCTTTATAGTTCCATATCTTGACCTGACATGGGTCCATATGCTGTAGTATGACCTGATATGGGTCAATATGTTGTAGTATGACCTTTTTCCTCTCTATATTGTCATCTAATCACTAATTTGAAGTAGAGATTATCTGCCAGCAGACAGGACCACTAGTAGAGAAAAATGTACCGAGGTCTGTGGCAATCACAGCAGAACTGTGAGCACTCCTGTGGTGGTTTGAAAGAAAATGCCCCCCCCCCCATAGGCTCACAGGGAATGGCACTACTAGGAGGTGTGGCCTTGCTGGAGTAGGTGTGGCTTTGTTGGAGGAAGTGTGTCACTGGGGGAAAGTCTTGAGACCTAAGAAGTTCAAGTCAGGCTAGTGACTCACAGTCTCTCCAGGACCATGTCCGCCTGTGTGCTGCCATGTTTCCTACCATGGTGATAACGGACAAAACAAACCTCTGGAACTCTAAACCAATCCGAATTGAATGTTTTCCTTTCTAAGAGTTGCCATGGTCATGGTGTCTCTTCACAGCAATAGAAACCATAACTAAGACAACTCCGTAGTAGGAGAGGGAGAAGGATCACAGGTCTGTCTCTTGGGATTGCAGCCATTGCTGCTGCCCCAGCTGTAGTGATCTTGGTAGATGCCAGGGTATCTAAAAGTAGAAGGCTGGCTGAAAGAGTGACTCCTCCATGCACCTTCCATGAGGTCATCACCCATGATGAGGTAGGACTTTGATGTGAAGCGCCTTCTTTGAAGATACGTAAAATCCTGTAATTAAACAAGAACCCATGTAAGAAAGTCCAGCAGTAGACTCGTTGGCTCACCAAGTTAGATGCTGGTGTATTGATTGTTGCTTTGGTCTATCATTAGTGCTCTATCTATAGTGAGGAAGAAATAGGGCTCCAGACCTTAGGACAACTGACTCCATGATGGAAAAAGTACCATTCAGGCCATAAAACTCAGCACATAGACAACATACCCTCTAAAACAGAAACATAGACTTAACTCATCAAAGCCCATTGTTCTGGGGGAATGGCTCTACATGTACTAACCTTGCTTTCTGGCTTCTGTAGTTCTGTTTCAGGCTAACTGTCCTTGCTAACTGAAGTGTGTCAACCCAGGAGGTAAGTGTAGGGGAATTATTATTATTTCTGCTTAAACATTCACCCTGAGAAAGGGTCAGGTCTATTCTGGGATCTCAAAAACCCAGTGTAGTCCCTGGCCAGCTAGCAAAGACTTTCTATTGACTTAAATCCATGTCTTCTCTGGTGGATACCACACAACAACGAGATGTTCATTCAAGCCTCCCCAGAAATCATTAAGGTAGAAACATGATTTAAATGAATCTTGCATATATTTTAAATGTAAATTAGAGTCCATTAAGCGTTTTTTCTCTAAGAACTAAATGGGTCAATCTCCATGGTGGCATTCCTTAGAATATTTCAGCTAAGGTGTTGCTACTGAAGTGGCATGGTCTTTTTTATTTCGCCTTTTGTGTGTGATCACTGTTGTTCATGTCCTCTGCTCCTGGCTTAGGTACTACCTTTTCTCGTGGCTTGCTTGGTTTAATAATTTTGCCTTTTCTACCTACATGGAAAGAATGTGCATAGTTTTATTTGATAAATAAACTAGAATTAATGGAGGATAAAACACCTTCTTCCAATTAAAATGAGTACACTGCTACAAGGCACTTCACAGTTTGTATCACAAGAGGGTGCTTGCTCTTCATTCTTCAGGGAAGAATACATTGTGCTAGTGGTTTGTTGCTCTGAACTGACCGTCAGTCTAGCACATCCAAGAAGGACGTGAGACTGCGCGGCTTTGTTGTGTGGGCCCTTCCACCTGCCACTCTGAGACAGACGACAATGAAAGAAAGGGGAATTGTAGTGGTGAGGCCCATATGGTCAGAAGGATAAATTTAACATAGCATTGGTCTGTTGTCTTGCTTTGCACAAGAAAATGTTGCTGGCATTGTTGCAGTAGTGTCCCGAATCCTAAACTCAAGGATCTCGTGATTTTCCTACTTGCCCTCTATCCTCAGGTCTCTAGGAGCCCGGCTCCGACAAGACTGGCCTCCTCTGATTCACTGACCATGGCACTTTCCCTGTGAAGCTAACGATTACATTCCTCAAGTTTCTTTCTTTTTATTTTATTTGTTTGTTTGTTTTTTGAGACAGGGTTACTCTGTGCAGCCCTGCCTGTCCTGGAACTCAATGAGATCTGCCTGCTTCTACCTCCCAAGTGCTAGGATTAAAGGCATGTACCACCACTGGCATTTCCCAAGTTTCTTGTAGCTGGTTGTATGCCGCCCACTAGCAAGGCAATCCTCGCTCTTCTGAGCAAGGGACGTTGGGATTAACAGGCAACACAACTTCAGGTTCTACAGACAAGCCTTTATTCCACGTTCTCACAAAGTATATATAGCCCTCAGCAGGGGAGGCTAAGGCAGCAAAAGCAGGAAGCTCATCATGGTAACTCAATGGCTTAGGGGTAAACATCCTTAGAAACATTGCTGAAAACAACAGGTTGTTCCTGGTTTTGTTCCTGTTTTCAACCAACTGCAAGAGTGCAAAACAGATGAAGTGGGGGTGCGAAGGCCTGCCCTCTAGGGACCCAACAGTTGTAGACTTGTGAGTATTGATTTCTTGGCCAGTAGGATATAAAGAAATACTAGAGCAGCATCACAAGCACTAAAACTTCCCAATAGGCCCATCTGGTCCTCTGCTGATGGCGCTGTTTTAGAGAAGCATAGGACACTGAGAAGGAGGAACCTCAGTCAAGGAAGGGGCCACTGGAGTCCCGCATTGAGCTTCTTCCACACAGCCTGTCTCTGCTTCCTGCTCTTCTACCAGGGGAGGAAGTAATATTCCAGCTGTGCATTTCTGCCACCATGAAGCCACCTGCCACTAGGCCTTTCTGTGGTAGGCTGTGTCCCATCAAAATGCAAGCCAAAATGAGCCTTTACTCAAACGAAAACAAAACAAAACAACAACAACAAAAAACCCGAAACAACATCTGTTGCTTATTTAACTATCATTATTAGGCAGCTTTGCTCAGAGTGCAACACCTGAACTCACAGGGCACCTTTGTCTTTCAGTTTCTAGCTCTCCTTTCGAATACTGGCCCAAGTCCTAAGCCTGCTTTCTCCAACACTGGGCATTTTCTCTTTGTTTCTGAGGAGAGGGTCATATCTGTGACTCACCCCGCAGATGCTTGTAGACTTGCCTTCTGAGCCAGTCTACCTTCCTGACCTCTAACTCTGAAAGCATGACTTCTTTGCTCTCCCTCCTCTTGCAGCTTCTGAGAGCTCCGGAATTCCCGTCCTGTTGTCTTTCTCAAACTCCACCTTCTTTCCGAGTCTATTTTGAAACACTGTTTCATCTATTCATTTCTTTATTGTTGTGGGGGAGGGGTAGGCAGGTGTGTGGTGGTCCCAGGGCGTTCTCAGATCTCTCCTTCTAGAATCTAAGTCTCTAAGATGAAACTCAAGCTATCAGGCCTGGCAACAGGAGCACTTACCTGCTGAGTCCTCACACAGACGCTGGGTTTTAAAATTCTTTTAACTATGAGTCTAAGACGCAGAAAAACGAGGCCCCCATCACCTGATAACAATGGTCAAACTTCTTCATGCCTTTTTCCAATGTAAGGCTTATTTATGTCTGGGGGGGGGGGGTTATCTTTTTCCAACTTAAATCCTGGCCAAATACAAACACAGTTCCCACCACCCCAACTCCACCCACCATGATAAGCACAGACTCTTAAGCTATATAAAGGAAACTATTACATATTATCAAGGGTTTATTCTGCTGAAGTATGAGTGTGTGTGTGTGTGTGTGTGTGTGTGTGTGTGTATGTCAGAGAGAGAGAGAGAGACCATACACTCACATACACCTGAGGAGGGTGGTATGCATGTGTGTTCTTAATCCAGAAATGGTTAGAATATGTGCTTGACATGCTCACATAGCTGGATTAAATAATCAGCAAGAAAAAATGGATTCTTTAATGAGATGGTGGTTCACAGTGTGCTCCTATAAAGAAAAGAGCAACAAGAACAAATTCCAGTATACCCAGAATTTAACATCTGAAGACTTTTTTCATGACAAATAATTTCTCATTGAGGACTCCCTCCAACCTAGTAGAAAGAGAGCATATTTTCACCATAGAAACCACCAAGCATCCCTCTGTGGGACTGATTTATCCAACACACAAGTCTTTTTTGGACCCCAGTCTCTGACTAATCTATCTGTCTGTCTGTCTGTCTGTCTATCTATCTATCTATCACCAGTCTATCCTAAAGCCTTATGTTCTGCAGCCTCCAGGAACACTCATATCTCTCACTACTCCCTGGGACGTGAATCCTCCGAAATAAATCTTTCTGGGACAGTGTGATTTCCTCCAAGTGTCAGGAAA